GAACATATGGAGACCTTCAGCTCCACTGGAAGTCAGAAAAATAGACCAGTCTATACCCACCCAAGGGTCAAGGGATCTCATTCGAATACACAGCGCTTCGTGCACTTGAGGAATCGGTCTTGCTGGGTGTGGTGCGTGACCCCGACAAAACCGCCCGAGAGGAGGACGAGTTGCTTGGGGAGCCACTCAGGGCCATGAAGAACAGCAGGTTCATTTGGGGAGCCACTTCGGCTTTGGGAACCCAGACGAGCAGGTGTTGTCATTGGGTAACTACACTGCATCACCTTATATTTCTTCCTTTCATGAGAAAAAGCACCAACGTCAGGTGTGTTTGATGGAATCATGTTTCTTTTTTTTCCGTCACTGACATCGTGATGATTCCCCCACTCAGTGGTGGAAAGCAGACCATAGCCGTTGGAGTGGAGACAAACGAAAAAGCGGAACTCATCACACCAAAGATCCGTCTGCAGCACAGCAGACCTAGCTAACCCCGACCATCCATGCGCGATGTGTTTTGAGCGATCAGGCCAGGGGTGGTGCTTTGGGGGGTCAATGCAGCTTTTTTCTTCCAGTCCCATGGATGGTCTGGGTAATTTGCTTTGGGCAAATCCAGCTGAAAAGCTCGGTTCACCGCTCATTTCCGGGAAAGAAACTGTAGAGCCGTCACTGGAGTCGGACTGTGAAGTTGGGGTGAGTCAGACTGAGCGGACTTCGAAGAAACTGGCAAGGTGTCATGGCTTCTGTGTCGGGTCTTCCAATTTCGATGTGGGCAGCCACAGGTACCTATCCGAACCGCACCAGAGCATTGACGCGCTGTATTGCTTTGGCCCTCACACAGGAAGTCTTTCACCAGGCACAGAAGGGCGTGTTTCAGGGTGGACTTCCTGCTTGGAATTCGGTCTTGAGGACTAACACCACCCAATATAATACCAGCTTCCAAGGCGTCACCTGGCTGGATATCTCCACACTACTTACAGGTCTCCAGACAGGGCACCCGACAGGAAGCGCTCGGGTGGTTTCAGATATTTTGATGTTTGACCTTTGCTTGGGATGATCCCACGGACGCTTATGCTTCAAAGCAGTTGAAACCACCAACCAGCCAGTTTTCAGATCCTTTGATAAGCATTGGAAGCTGGTGGCCCTTAAGATACCGGGTGTATTCTTTAAATCAGAAAGGCTTGCTTGCGGACATCAAGAAGCATTGGGTCTCAGGACTCTTGTGGTGCCCATCGTTTCCTGCACAACCCGGCCCCCGCTCGTCGTGTGCGGCACGCGCGCGCCACCTCGCCGGCGCAGGTCCTGGAAGAGTTCCCCTCGCACGTGGAGCTGTTCCTGGGCGGAACGATGGGCGGACGAGTCTGTCCATTTGCCTTGGTATTGTTTTTCCACTAATTACGACTCTAATTACTACGGCTACTGCGGTCCTCCAGATTCCTGCTGCTGCCAGCGGATTTCAGTGATTGGGAATTCGGGGAGAAGCGATAGTCTTGAGCAACGGGTGAGTTGGAAAGCCACGTCAAACTGAGACACTGATTTGAGTTCTGGTGCCCGGGATACTTCCATAATGTTTCGTGTGTGGTTGCGTACTGAAGTTCCTGCAGAGATTGAGAACCTTTGTTTCTATGTCCTATGTGTTGGGAATGCACCAGATGAGAATTGAGAAGCACAATCATTACAACGGATTAGGCCATAGTGTTGCAGCACCAACAAAAGAGTTGTCCTTCTCAAAGCTGTTGGAGTCGAAGGAAGGAACTCGTGTTTGAACAAAATCTGTCGGTGCCTCCGCGTGAGGTACAACCACATGGCCATGCAGGGCCATCAGACGGAGGTTGGAGCCTCTGAATTGAATGTCCAGTTGGGGAAGAGCCGCGCCTTCTCCAACGCAGCTCGGCGCATCAGGCTCCCGAAACCTGCCTGGGAGTTGGGCCGCAACCTTTCTCCGAAACACCGGTCACCACGGGGATGAGGACCTTCTACAGGGTCGTTGAAGGGTCGGGGAAGGGTCGGGGGAAAGAGTGGGACAATGGGAACAACTATAAAATCATGATGAGAAGAAAACACATGTTTCCCATGTGATTCATTAAAAAAGAACAACAAGAATGAAAGACGACACTGTTGGTCAGATGAGTGTTTCTGTTTCTCATGTGATTCATTCTTTGGGCACTGTTGTTGGCCAGATGAGAAACTTCATTGGCTTTGGTGGGCCTAAAGGATCTGGGATGTCATTGGTGGACAGTCACGCTGCGATGGCAACCAAAGCACCCGTGCATTGAGAGGTGCTCTTAAAGAAGCTAACTCAACCCAACTCTTTTATACGGTTTTTAGAAGGCTGGGGGTCTAGTTGCAATTGGTTGGACATTGATGGATGATGTTGCATTCCCCCAGAGTTCGGCCGTAGCGCGTGATGGATTTCCATCAAGATCGTTCGATACCCGTGTAATCAAAGACGACATGAACTCCACATGCCAAATATCTTGCTCAGCGGACATACTCTAAAGCATTCGAATAACTGAGTGATGGTTTAACGGTTAACGGCAGCCCACTTTGTTTATTTGACATTTATGACATGGTTGTTCTATGCTGGCCAAACGGAATTAAACGACCATGCTTGTTCTGTTCTATGTGGAGGAGAGTGTCTCTTTTTCGTCTCGTCCAGGTTCTGGTCCGGTTCTGGTGTGGAAAAAAAAGCACACACGCTTAACCAACACAACGATCTTTGAGGTCAGCAAGGACTTCTTGATGGTGGTCTGCGAGCGTGCAGATGAGGCTGTCTCGGGCCAATGGCCGTGTTCGAGAACATCGCCCATGTCGTATTGATGGAGAGAACCTTCCAAGAATTTCCCGACGCACATGGGAAATGGGTCCAATGGCAAGCTCTCAGAGTTTGTTAGGCGAACTGAGCATCGCAACCTGTTCGCGAGTCGCAAAACCCAATTCACAGACAATCAGATGGGCAAAAACTTCCGGTTCTTTTCTCATCAGAAGACTCTTCTCACCAAACGAGAGGAATCCATGGCGAAGAATTCTGGGTCACACTCCTCTCCATGTTCATTCACCTTCACAAGTAACAAGAAAGAGCTCCCAACCTGGAGGCTCCATAAAAGAAGATCCAGTGGGTGATTGGCCACCTACGCTTCACCCAATCTATTTCACAAGTTCGCAGACTTCAGTGACATGCTTTGCTTGGAAAACAACATTGCAAAATGACTTGGACCAGAAAACCAAATTGCAAACTGATTTGGACCATAAAAATATTGCAAAATGACTTGGACCAGCAAAATATTGCAAAATGACTTGGACCAGAAACACACACATATTGCAAAATGACTTGGACCAGAAAAACATTTGCAACATGACTTGGACCAGAAAAAACATATTACAAAATGACTTGGACCCAACAAACAAAATGAATTGGACCAGAAGAAAATATTGCAAAATGACTTGGACCAGAACATATTGCAAAATGACTTGGACCAGAAAAAAAACAACAAAAAACAAATGACCTGGACCAGAAATATCATGAAATCTCAGAAAATGACTTGGGCAGGTTCAAAGCTACCGCGGAGCCAGGTGGTTGAAGGTCAAAGAACTGCAACCAGGTCCGCGTTGATGAACAGCTGACCGAATTTGATCCCCTTGGCCGAGGCCGACTGGTCGGCCTGGGCGAACTTTAAAACTCCAAAAGGGTCACTTTGCAGAAGTTGGATGACTTAGACTCCTGGGAACTCACATGGTTTGGATGGCACCCCCTGTTTGGTATTCGGATTTCATGGTCGATCTCGGGACCATCCACGTAACCATGTTAGTAAGGCACTTGTTCCTAGTAGCTTTTTGTTACTAGTAGCGAGGCACGTGTTCCTAGTAGCGATGCACTTGTTACTAGAAGCGATGCACTTGTTACTAGTAGCGAACATGTTAGTTCTTGGATGACTTAGCGCAAATTTCTTCTTGTCAATCTTGACTCTGGTGGATCAGATTGATCAGATCGACCGATGCTTCCCGAGCGATCGACGCGATGCCGGTTCCCGCGGGAACCCCGTGGGTTCCGGTGTGTGTTCGGATGGGAAGGCTGTGGACGAGGTGGATTCATTCGTTTAGACCGTGGCAAAAGATCCCAAACTGTCTGGGACTCTGAACCCAAATGGTGACCTTCTCAGCCAAATTCATTTGAAGGCCCGAGTAATCTCAAGAACCAATTAGGTTTGTAGAGTACTTGAGCCGGAGTTTATATGCAGGGTCATTCAAGTTGCTGAGGCTGTCTTTTTGTTGAGTTGTTGGGTCAAGAATGCTGAGAACAATGGACAATGGAAACAGAGTGCCACACATCGGACAAAGTCATTAGATTCATAGTGATTCAAATCGCATGTCTTTGTGAGAGATGGTTGCCCAAGCCTGGACTAGCATATAAGTTGAATGTGGTGCTCAAAAGCTGTTGCGCTTAAAGTGGGGCACAGGTTGTGACCAAATACGGGGCTGGCAATTGGAGCTCGCGAGCCAGTCTGTGTATAGAGGAGGCTGTTTGGCAGACTTAGAGAAGTGTGCGTTTGAGCCGTGTCAAGGCAATTTGTACTTGGTGTCCATCCCTTGAGCCCAACAGCTGCTGTGGTGCCACACCCGGACGTAGCCATGCCACCCACGCACACATCACTAACAATGAGGACTGGACACAAGCTGACTGCATGCTCCATGGCGTCATCGTTGTTTCTTATGGCTTCCTAGTTGATCAGGTGTAAGTGTACGTGTGGTATTGGCTTATTTATAACTAGTGCCACCAAGCCGGAACAAGGACAATATCAGGAGAAAATCTGAAGCACGGCTTTTCGCAGAGCCAAGCAGGCGTTTGATGGTGGATTTTGTTTTGGTTGTTGCTTGGGCAGTTGAATTAGACTGGACAAGGTCGCGTTTGGCTATGGCTAGTGAATGCTAAGCAACGCTGTGCGTCTCAAGGTAAACCCGAAGGTGGGGTCAGTTTTAAGATGTTTGGGGAACATTCTTCAAATTTCAAGCAACCTTCACCGATTTTGTAATGAAATCCTTCACATCGCTTCACGCACTTCACAATTTCACAACACATTGCTGGCGGCAATCCAACTCGGTGAAACGTGGTGGTTGCTGCCCCATCCTCACACAAGTGTGGAGCAGGTCTACTTCGGCCCCGGTGATGACATCTTTCGGCGGGGCGAGGCCTGCAAACTTGGAGAGGCCTTGATGTTCCTCGGCATGACATGGTGTCCCAGGTGGCAGCGCATCCTGTTTTAGACGCGTTATAGTGCCTTTACGCACGCATGCATTAATTGTATTTTATACAATTGGAAGAACAGGTGCCCTCGTTCGTGGATGTTGATGCTCTACAAAGAGACCATCCAACGCACATAATCTAAAGTTATAATTTGTTATGTTATGTTTGTTGAATTCAGCTACACAAGTGTACATCACTGATTGGTTTGACGCATTGATTTCAACATTGGGATGATAATATACTCGAATGATTAGAGTACATTGGCGGGTGTAAACGACCAAACTGATCATGTGTGCTTGCATGGTTGGTGACACCTAGGTATATCTTGCTGCAAGGAGCTGCCATCGTTGAAGGACACCGGTGTTCGGACCGACCGATTGAGCTGTCGGGGGAGTCAACTCTGAAAAACACCCTGCTATATATCCATACAAACACCACTTGCTAGGGTAGAGACAAAAGCACAATGTACCTACGGCCCCAGGTGTAAAGACGAAAACTTGAATAGAATACTCCGCAGCTAGCAAAATATCGAATGTTCCACATCTAGTAAAACAGAGGGTGGAGAGTTTGAGTCTCTACAGGTTACCAACCCAAAGTAGGTCTCTTTGGCGAACGCCAGGTTTGTGATCATGAACAAGGTGCCAGTACGCCCTTCGCGGCTCTGTCAGGAGAATATGGCGATGAACTGGGCAGGCACTGGAGATCGATTTGTGGCAGAGGAGGGAGGTATCTGTGAGAATCAGATCTGACCTACCCAGGACCTTCAGGTCACCTGTTTGGGGGGATTGGTGACACCCCACTGGGCAGGAACAGGTGGCAAAGGATGGAGAGGTGTATATTTAACTAACCCTGTATTTGGTTCCAGGAAAACTGAAGGGGGTTTTGGGATTTGATCCGCGAGTTTCACACGAGAGGAGTTTGCGGAGTTTTTGACACCCTTGCAAAAAATAAGGGACATGTGTTGACAGTAAGAAAGAAAAGGATCCACTGACAAATGAATCAAAGGTTTCAACTATTCCAAGTTGTTTTGTTTTGTTTTGTTTGACAATGTCTACTAGAGCCTTTGTTTCTGGCCAGATCCATGCCGATATGAGATTGGTTTTGATTTTGAGGGGCCACAGGACAAAGAACAACCACCAGTGGTTGTTCGCAACTTGCGACCTCCAATCTCGCTCAATGAGAACAACACAGGCTTCGTATCACATGGTTTTTGCAAGACAAGTCTCCATCAGTTCTTCGAAGCTTCACAATTCGTTATTAAATATTAAATCTGCAAGAATCATTGGGTGGCTTGCACAGCGTTTTTGTTGCAGACGTTGTTGATTTTTCTAGGCCCATGTGTTTCCCAAATAACCACAACCACCCATAAGCCATTCTAAGAAAGAACCTACATTTGCTTCGCAAAACAAATTCAAGATTTCCCCTAGAAGATTACCTTTCGTAATAATTCACGAATCGCAAAAACAAATATAAGAAAAAATATCATGCATTCATTCACTTCCGGCGGAAGAGCTGTCCCTATAGGGATCCAGTCGTACCGAACTTCAGGTACCTGGAGACCCTCGAAACCTACATAACAGTGTCGAACACATCACCGTACCTGAGGTTCGGTACGACTGGATCCCTAGGGTGTGTTCTTCTCAGCACAATTTTCTTCGGTGCCACTGGACGAAGGAATCGAAGGGTGTTTGTTGAGGCGGAATGGCATGAACGGGTTGCACCTGGTGATCTAACCCCTCCAAAACCCAGGTGATCTAACCCCCCCAAAACCTTCCGACATTGGATGCCTTTTTCGCGGGGTGACCAGCAACGGCTCTTTCACCCCAGCCTTTCGAGTCGTTCGAGGCTGAACTCCGGTGATGTCGTTGGCGAGGGCGGTGCCCTTGGCATTGCCCCCATCCGCGGCGCCACCGTCCGGGTGCGCCGGGCCCGCGGGCGGAACTCGTGGGGTCGCCTCGTCGCCTCGTCGGGAACTCGGATTGGGTCGTCGTTTGTGGGTGCAACACATGGATGAAGGTGGTTTCTTTTGAGTGTGGAGGTCGCGGTTGGTTTCTTTGATTTGGGGGGGGTGGTTTGGGGGGTGGTTTGGGGGGGAATTCAGCTCTTGCTTGTAAGAAGAGCACGCTGCGTCACATGAAATGACAACTGGGTGGTTGGGGGGGAGGTGTCGCGATATTCTTGGGGGGATGATCATTCCATGAGACGGTTCAATAAATTTCATCATCAACCCACAAATGTTTTGGAAAGCGACATGAAGGCACCAGTGCGCTGCAAGGATGGAGTGGTTGGGTGAGGCCAATGGATTGGTTGTTTATGCTTTTGACCACATATTACGGTATATTTTTTGGCGCACACCCCGACTTTGGATGCTTCATGGGCCCCGTTTTTGCCAGCCTGGAACACACCGTCTAAGGAAGTTGGCAAGGGATTTTCTGCGGCTCTTTCTTAGGATTCTGGATGATTCTGGGATATATAGCACATGCAAAGGAGCGAACACAAAAGTATTGTTGTTCGGAGTGAAACTGTTTGGTCCTTTGCCTTCAGGCTGAAGTCTTGAAGAACCTGGGGGACTCGTTTTGTGCCCAAGGCAACAGAACCTTCTTGGCATGTCTACTAGGGTTCCTTTCTTGCTGCAGAGGATGGCCAAGAGTCTCATCTTGGTAGCACCAAGATGATTTGGGATGATGCCACTTTGCTTGCTGTATCTTGCCGTGGAAATTGGCATCCTCTTCCTGAGCCTGGGCTTTCTGCTCAAGGGCCATCCATTGCCACTTCAACAAGCGGCCATTCTCTTCCAGCTGTGCTAGATATCGAGCTGCACATTTGTGTGACAGCTGTGTGCCTTCTCCGGGCAAGCGGCACAATGCCAGCTGGTGCAGCAACAGCCAGAGCCCTTTTGGAATCCCTTTGACATGAGCTGCTTTGGCGTGCAGCTGTGGTGGCAGTTCACCACCCGTCACATTACGCAGTCTTCCGAGGTTAGCTTCCAAGCCTTTTGTCGTGCTCTGTGTATTTTGGTACAGGCCTTTGATGAGATCCCACAAAGCATTGGTTCTTGCTTCTTTGCTGCTGGCAGTGCAGCAACTGCTAATTCTTTCAAACATTTGCTACTGGCTGAAGCTGCACTGCCTTCATTTTCTGCATGCATACAATCTGGTAACATGATGCTTGCATGGAATATTTGCATTGCTGGCTTCTCCCTTGCAGCCCAGGTTGGCTAGCCAGTCCGCCTTCCCCAGGGTCATCGTGTCTTTCTCCTGGGTCATCGTGTGCCAATCTCCTAGCCCACTCCGACCAGGTCCCTTGATCTGCCGTGGGGTAGGCAGCAAGCGTTGCTGAGCACTGTGCTTAAGCACTTTGCTCGAAAAACTGGTGGTTCAGAACCACCACCTTTCGCAGGGGATGTGCTTCCGTGTTTGTGAGCCGGGCAGCGTCGTCCAGAACCACCATGCTCTCCGCTGCTCTCCGACACTCGACCTGCCGCGACGGCGTACCGCGTCCTCCGTCTGCGGAGTCCGGCAATGCACGCTCCGGGACAGCCAACGAAAGGATAGAACTCAAAGATTGATGCCAGCACCACCCAGTTCGGGTGGTTTATAGACCCCCCTGAAAGATGTCTTTTCCATCTAATAACCACCCCTTGGGTGCTGGTGGTGTTCACTTCAGAGAATCACTTTTGGTCACTCCATCGCCAGGCCTGGCGGGACAGCCTGGTGCGCGCCGTGCGGCTCCACGGGAGCTCCGTGCAGAGGTGCGGAGACCGGCGGAGACCGGCGCGGTACTGCTGCGTTTGGGTTGTTTGACTTGGTTGAAATGGTGTGATGGTGGCGGATTTCGGTGACTAAGACGACTGGACATGTTGGAAGCCTGGTGACCGACAGGGAGTTGAGATGTTTGGGAGAGATGCTTATTTGCAAAAACATGACTACGAGATGACTACGACTTGGAAAAACGACCATATCCAACATCATGATTCATTCAAATTGTCATATGCGCCAGTGTTGCAGCTCGTCTCTGGTTCGTTCCTTTTCAGTCCCGCGAAAGCACAGGGCACATACCTCCAGCGAGGCCCTCAGAAGCCCTGTGCACAGGCAGATTAAAGGAACCTTGGGCATTTGATGATCCCAAAAAACATGAGGTTCAGTGTATAGCTGTTGTTTGTTTCCCTTTTTTTTTCGGGGTTTAGTGGTCACCATAGATAAGCTTAGTGCCCACCTGACACTTTGGTTTTGACTGGTAACGTTACGCTTTTTGTGTGTTTGGGAAACATCGTTCTATTCGGAATTTCATGATGGTTAGACTTGCTACAGTACAATGGATCCTGGACCATGCATGACCGTGCAACCCTGACATAGTCTGGATGTCAACTTCATGTTTGCCGGAATCCTTAAATCTGTATGGAATCGTTTGACTTGCCTCAACAAAAGCTCTTCGAATCCTCCATGGTTCTTGCGGACCTCATTTCACTGGGTGGTTTGATCATGTTTTATACAGTACTCAACTTGGCTCTTGGACCAGTAGGCTATCAGACCCCAAAACATCCTCAACCCGGCCCTTGGTCATGTGCTGCTCCCGGGGATCCTTTTGGGGGAAAAGGAGATCCTTGCGCTCCGCCTTCCATGCAACTGCTCCTTCAAAGCTGCAACTTCTGGGGATCCTTTTTGTGAAGCTTTGGTTACTTTGCTTTAAGAACGTGACCGTGACCTTATAACCCGCAGCCCCACACGAACGTGAGCGTTTGTCGCATGCAAACAGAGCGGACTGGTCGCTGCGCTTCTGGTCTTTCGCGTCAGGGCTGTGACGGCCTTCCCCGACGAGTACGAGTCGTTGCAACAGATTTTCCAGTCGCGCGGCGGTGATCCGGCCAAGCCCGGAGTAAAATGCTTATATATAAACTTATATGTAAAAAAACAAAAACATATAGAGAGTTTCCAGGATCATCCAATGGGTGTCCAATAGACTACCCTACCCTACTTACAGGTCTCCATTGGGCACCCGTTGGAAGTGCTAGGTTTGTATGGTCTATTTCAAAGACTCTTCAGGGTCTTCAAACATCTTCCTGCTCGCAGCACCTATGCGGTGTGTGATCTCGTTTTTTGGGCGGCCCGGCCGACACCGGAGATCATTTGTGTCTTCTCGCCTTGAGATGATGGTCCTCCAGAGCCAACGTTCTATAGGCGCCTCAAAACCTGGGTTTTATGTGGGTCCTGGCTACAACAAATCAGTTCCATGAGTTCCATGGTGGTTTTGCATGGTCGAAAGAGGGACTGAGTTCTGAAGACTGAAGCTCTCAGGAAGCGTGCTTCGGCCAACAAGGAGGTCGAGCGTGTACGGTGACTTGATTGACATGGGACGAAGCCAAGGCAGGCGGTGGTGGAAAATGGGGATGGCCGGTTGCGGGGGAGATTGTTTTAGAATGTTTTATATACCTGGCAGGTTTGGCAGGTGGGTGAGCAAATGCATGATGATCGGCTGAATGGCTTCTATTTTAAACATATGGTTTGTAGAGTTTGGTCTTTTCAGGGGTTTATGAAGCATGTGGATCATCGTGCGAAGATCTCCGTCCTACAGGGCGAAATCGATGGAGGTGGCACCTAAGTATATAGGTCTTTGTTTGGACACCAACTTCACGCAACAACCGTGCGAGTTTGTTTGATGCAGGGACGATTGATGGGACATCCTCTTCAAGTGCCAACACCCCCAGCTGACCAGTGTCATATGATATAGCAGTCACTGATTCGTCCGGATATCGCCGCCCACCTGCGGTTGGCACCTGAGATCTTGATCTGCAATGCAAGTGACTGGAAGTGGGGAAACAAGCAAAAAAACTGGGAACCGACACCCCGGAGACTACCCAGGAGTCACAAGACGGGGTGGTTCTTATAGTTCCCTTTCAGTGAGTGGATAGATCGTGGGCAGATAGATGGGCCCATCCAAGTTCGGCACACCAAGCTACTGGATTGGGATTTCAGCTGCCTGGTTCCTTGCTTTGAAAAGCTCAGCTGAGGCAGAAGTGGCTGCAAGAGCAGGTGATTCCCGCTCTGAACACTTGATCCTCGGCGAATGGCCGACCCACCGACCCACCGAAGTCGAAAGCGCGAACGGCCAACGGACCCGGAATCCAACGACTGGGACCGGAAGGGCGCGGAGTAGAACGACCAACGACTTGCTGGGCCAGAAGCCTTGGGAAGACTGTCCCATAGAGATACCCGTGTCGCATGGTCCTTTTTTCAGGTCACTCAACTTCTCTTGGTACCCTTGATACATCCTTGATAGTCTATATAAACTCTTTTGATGATATAGTACTTTTGATGATATAGTACACCCCTATATAAACCTCTCCTTGATAGGTCTATATGATCATTCCAAGGTGTGACTTTGGTTGATCCATGCACACCGATTCGTCGCTCACAGAACCGCAGGATGCCCCGCGAAGCGCGGATCGGCGGATCGTGTCGTGGTGCCGAGAGGCCCGGCAACCGACCATCTATCGATCTACTGGGAGGACACAGCTGAACCGAACCCTTTGCTGCAGAACAAGGTATATAGAGCTCATGAGGAACAGTTCTGTGATTGTTCTGTGATATTCTGTGTGTCAAATGTTCCAAATTCAGAAACTCAGTGTCCAAAGGCTCGTCCCCATTCTGTTTTGACCACCTTTTGAATGTATATATATATATGGTTCATGTGCTTCAGAACGTGGTCGACCTCCCGGTTTTCCCGACATGACTCGATCTCCCAAGCTGCGCTCAGCGAGGTCGGATCTTCCAAGGCTTTCCCGAGCCGATCATACGGAAGATCGCCGAGCACTTGCTGCAAGCAACCTACACTTGCGCCTTGGTTCGGGTGGACCAAAACCTTTGGGAGGAGGGTGACCGTGCAATGAGCCGCTGTGCCGGTTCTTCCAAACGGGGTCCGTCCGAGCCGCGGTGGGTCGAGTCGAAGCGAGGGCGGCACGGCAGTTCGCGGTGGTCTTGGCCGTTTCTGTTGGGGTGGATGATGTGGATGGGAAAGACTCCAGTGGTCTGAATCATTGAGGGTGACTAATGGTTGTTGAGACGTGTTGTCTTTCTTTTTCCTTTGAGATGGACGTGTGACACCCGCAGCAGTTGTAGAAGGATGATGGTAGAGAGGAATGCTAGGGGCTCTTAGTAGGATGCTCTGGAGTGGGGATGGTCGAGTGGTGGTGGTGGAAGGCGCAGTTACTTGATTTGTATTGATTGCTCAGGATGGCCTCTGGGGAACACTTAGATGGAAGCATTGCAAGCATCAACATGTAGTCATCGGACTTTTGCCCACCAGGTTGCATAGCAGACACATCCTTGGAACAGGGAAAGCATATGAAAGCATATTGTTTATCCCTAGACATCCCGAGACCAAGAACAACGGAGCTGTTCTTTGACAACATGTTCCAGTCGTTTTGCACTTGAAGATGCTGATGTCAAAGCATGTTCTGTTGTGGTTGGACCAGTTCGAACGTTTGGACATCCAAGTACACATGATGGACATCGGACAGGTGAATTTGACTCTTGTCCATCAACAGTATGACGACGGCAGAGTGATATTCGGAAAACAGTACATAACCCAGGGGTACACAACCCAGGGGTAGGCAGTACAGATGAACAATGATATTATATGATGTATTGTGTATAGGAGCTGGATGTCCCGGCGCTGGAACAAAAAGGGCTGATGTTGCCCACAAAGAGATACTTTGTACTTTGTACTCATAGTGTTGGAGAGGCATTGCATATAATATGTGTTGAAGGAATGCAGGTTCCCTGAAGATTTTCGCAAAGACTCAACTCAACCGTGTATTTTTGATTTGTGACCACCAATCGGATGTCATCGGGATGGTGTTCTGGGCAAGGCATCGAAGAAGATGTGGAAAAATTGCTTTGAGAACCGATGATTGCCGGTTTCAGGGGGGGTTTGGATGTGTTGTCCATCAGTGACACAGAGGGTCCGCTGCAGCACTTGGAGAAAGGTCTCGTATACCACAAGAAGATCTCCGCTACAGCCATTTTGCGTAGCTCCTACTTTAGACTCAACTCCAGACGCTCACCACCTGACCCTGGCTGACCAACCCATCGAGAAGAGTTGCGATGCCATTGATTTTGTCCCCTCAACAAGGCTTCTATACCAAAATGATGTGGTTCCTGCCGGTAATCACATTTCTGTGACCATGCAACAAGATCCACAAACCCTTCCTGAGTCCTTCGCCTGGCGTCCAAGAACAGTATCACAGTATATGTATGTATATTGTATATATATATATATATGTCTACTTGCTTGAACGCCAGTGTGATACACACAGAGCAAGTATCAAGTTTTCACAGTATCTACCCTTCTGGAGAAGTGTCTACTGAGTCTATTTGCTTACTCTGAGAACACCCAATTCTACAGACTTCTCCAGACGTGAAGCTGGCTCGCCATGACGGCCTTGAGCCGCGCGCCAAGCATCCTTCCGCGGTCCTCGCGCTCCTCGGTCCGCCCCGCGCCGCGCGGTGCTCGCGCGGTGGGCGCGAGCACCGCGCGTGGTCCGGGACCTGCGCGGTGGCAGCGACCTGATCTCTACGTGTCCTGGACGGTGGTTGGATGTGTGGAGGGGGTGAGAGGGTGACTGTCACAGGTCATGGGAAAAGTGAGACTGTCACGCTTGAGGGTCAACTCTTGGGTGACATCACCCAAGGGTGGCGAAATCCGGTGGTTTTTGGACCGAAAGTCCAAGCCAGGACGATCTTGATGTCAGCGTTGGCCTTCCGTGACCTCCATGTTGTCCGCTTTTTTCTAGTACACTCAAGGGTCAAAGCGGAAAAAGCCGCTTTTTGACGCTATCACAACCCGCTTGAGAAAGACTTAAGGGACGACCGGAGGCGACCGGAGAGACGACCTGGTCCCAGGTCTGGTCCGACGTGGTGCCGAGTCCTTCGTGTCACTGCCGCGGGTCCTGTCGTCGCGTTCCGAAGGGGTCGATAGTCATGTATCTTGATTAATAACCTCCCCCTCCCCCGATCTCCCCCTGTTTGAATTGAAAAGCCTCTTCATGTGGGAGATTTATCAAGCATCTTTGCATTAGATTATACTGCATAGTATTTCTGACCCGTCCTATCCCGTCCTATTTCGCTAGGCGAGTCATCCTTGGAACATCGCGCGACCAACTGCGTGAACGATTCCAAAAATCCATAAGCTTCTGCAGAATCTCAGGTTTGAAGGTTTTGTGGTTCGGCGCATGTAGCTGCTTGGAAGAAGGCTAACGGTGGTGTTCTGTGTAGGGCACACATCATCCATGTACAACCTCAGGAGATAACTATTAGTTATATAATGTTATAATCATATATATATATATTATATGAGTCTGAGTCTATCAGTCTTAAAATGGACCCACCAAGAACACTGTCACAACGGAAAGCCCAACCAAACCCCGCCTGCCTGGACATGGCCGCCGTGTTTTTTTTTCACGCAGAGGGATGGCGTTAGTCACAGAAAAATGTGTTGCGCGTGGAAAAGATGCCGAGGTCTACGATCTTTGCCCTTTCTGCACTCGAGCTCGTATGATCTTCGGTTTGAAGAAGATCCCCCATCGTTTGATCTTCATGTCCTACGATGATGTGGAAACCCCCACCGCATCTCGGGCCGTTGATGCGAGGAGGTCGGCCCTGTCTACAACGTTCCTCGAGCTGCGTTGCTTTCACATCTGTACAATGCCAGCGTATGGAAGAGTATATTGAGGTCAGTGCTTTTCTTAACTCGACTCGTGGAAACCTCGTAATTAAGAAATATCGTTATTTATGTTCCATCCCTTCAACATCCTGGTTGTACGGTGCTCCGAATCGCGGGTGCCGCTGCGGAGCATATCCAACGGTCAAACAGTTTGTAGAGACACAGGGGCGAAGAGGGGTGAGTACTAGCAACGTTTGAATACACATTTGCATGCGTGTGCCGTTTGCGAGGAACAGGTCATTTCAATGATTTGTTCCAGGCCCACCTGCCACCCTGAAAAACCTTGCTCATGAGCTGTCCTGTGGGCAAAGAACACACAACTTTGGAAGCAGATTTTGTTTTTTGCAGCAAGTCTTTATTTGAGATTGGCGCCGCATTTCGATTCAATCTATCAATAAGGAAGACAAAGTGGAAGACAATAAGCACAGGACGGACCAAGGATAAACAGGAGAGTATTTCTATATACTTGAACACCGAGTGTTTGTTTCAAGCTGTTCCATACTCGCCCAGGCATTGATCGGCAAGAAGCTGGCACCCATCTTGCATCTGTCGGGCGAGGCGCCAATGCCAGAATCCTTAGACATCATCAAGCGCATTGATGACGATTCGAAACTTGAGATCATCCAGAATCGCCGTGAGAGTCTTTTCGAGGGTGGACTGGAAGGGCAGAGGATCCAAAATAAAGGGCCCACAAGCTACCAGGGCCCACAAGGGGTGATTGAGGGACACTCCTCAGCCTCTAAGGGGCCATTGTTAGACCATATTGCGGGGCCCTGGTATAGGGTTTTAAGTGGTCAAATCTTATCGCCAGGGAGTGGGAAAAGACTGCAAGGGTGCATGTTGAATGACAAAAGACACCTCCATGAAAACATCTACCAAACCCCGCGTTCCTGTATATGTACCTAGGCGCGAAAGATGTTTCTTTTGCCGCTTAGAGGGGTCCCCGTGTCCCTGGTAAGGGTGAGAAGGACCATTGGATCCATCAATTCCAAGGCTGGTAGTTCATTTTTGGTGGAAAGGGTTTACCTCTTAGTCAGTCTTTGCGTTTTTTATTATGTTTTTTCTTCTTGTCTCTTGCTTTGTCACGCTGCGTTCAATGCAGAGGGGTCATGGTGATGTTGGATTTACAATGATTTACACAGTTCTTTGAGGCCCTTAAATCATTTGGTCAGGAAGAACTCATGATACTCACAAACCCTTTTTGTTCATCCACTTCATACCCAATGCTGTGTATCAAGGAGGTGCATCCGAGCGCTAAGATCTCTTTTGCGCAAGCTGGGGACCGTGGTTGTTGAGGGAGGCACAGTCGAAGGGTGTTGTTCATTCCATGTAGCTAGAAGTGAGCTCAAGTGGTGCCAGACACTGTCCATGAATCTGTCCTCACTGGGCAAAGATTGGGAAAGGGATGCAAAGGGACGAGCAACAAGTTTTTGACCTGTTTTTTGTTCCATCATGTTCCATCCCGATGGATTTCTTTTAAAATTTAGGGGGTCGGAAGCGATGGATCTTGAATTGAATCCACACCCAACCTCAAGGTCAGAAGCCTGTGCTTCTGTCAGTGGGTGGTGATTTGTTTATTTGTCCATCCGGAATCAGGAGGTGGGGGCCACCCATCCTGCAAGCGTCTTCCGGACGAGAAGATCTGAAGCTCTTTGATGCTCGTCCTCCATCAGCTCCGCCCCAGTCGGCGCCGACGGGATAAAGCGCTTCGCGATGGGAGTAGCCGCGTGGCCCTGGCCGCACCGGCATAAAGCGTCGAAAATTAATCGAAGAAGAGGAAAGTCATGAGTCCCCAAGTAACATATTCAGCTTATGATGTTCACTCAAAGTGTCCACAACGTGGATTTCACTCCCACAACGTTGGATGTTCAATGTCGGGGTCGGTTTTCCCTGTGCTAGTAGACATGAGTCCTGAGGATAGTTCTACAAGGCTTTCGAGAATCTGTCGAGTTTGTTTGTTTGTTTTGTTCACACTCGCAAGGCAAGGGGGACTCAGAACGACTGTGAAGGTCGACTGTGCATGTGTTTCACAAAGATGATCACTTTGCTTCGGGTAGTATAAGCTGATTACTGGTTTTCGGTCATGTTTGAAAGGGAGCTGGTAAAGATTCGATCACCCGTCACATCCCGTCACACAGTCTTGATGATAGAGAAGTCTTGTGTGTCAAGAAGCTGTTTAAGAAATGAAAAGGAACCAACGAACAATCACTTGGCAGAAGCCACTTGCTTCTTTTCCTACAGCAAGCCTGGCACCTAGGAAAAGAAGCACTGGCCGCTTGGTGAATGGATGGGACTGAGGACCGAGGACACAAAAGACACGACACAGAAGGACACCCCTTTTCGGGTTGTCGATGGCCTAAGCATTGCCAGTGGCACTGCCATATTTGCCGACATTGGGGTGGTTGAAAAGAGGTCATTGCAGGCATTATTATATAGTCATAATTCGAGTCCCATTGCGTGTCTTGATTAATTTTGGGGGTTCTGGCCAAGAAAAAGACACTGAGTCGGAAACTGGTGAACGCGGTTCATTTGCCTTCAGAGATTCAGGAAGTGTTTCTTTCACAATGTAAAACAATCCCTACAAGTCCAAAGGCCCAGAAACACCTGGTCAAACGCCATTATTTCATGAGGTCATCGACTTGTAGGGAATGGCGATCCTCCAGTTCTTAGGCGAGAATAACTTCAGTTCTTCTCAGTGATTAGTCAGCACTAGATTCTAGACCAGGCGATCTGTGGTCATGTTCAGCTTTTGGCATGTTCCCGTTGCTGGCTGATTGCGACACCATGGACGACACCATCGCTACGCTCTTGCACACCTATGTTCGCCTTACTTCGTGGCAGGCCTCGATCCCCTGAGGTCATAAACAGGCCTCAGAAAGGTACAGAGTGACCTTTGGATCCTCCGATTTCATGTCACTTTAGGCCTCGGAAGGGTCACTAAAAGGCACAGAATCGGTGAAGAAGGAAGCCAATTCGCGGGTGCGCGCGGGTGGTCCTGAGATATGACCGGTTACACTGTTACGCTCGACCTCGCTCCGGTTACGCTATGGCCCCTCATTTGATACCACAAGATCTACCAAGCTACCTCGGGGTCACCTGGCTGGTTTCGCCCCAGCCCACTACCTTTCCGGGATCTCCAGGTCCAGGACACCCCTCTTTCCCTTTTTCAGGTGCTGGAATATTCATCTTTTGAAAGATTCTCTCAGCGTGTATCACTTTGAATTTCAGGAGTTCAGCTTGAACATGCGGGGCAATTGGCCTGCGATTGTTTGATCTTCACTTGATGGCTGTTGATACCCTTCATGAAGTGCAGCGGCGTAAGGATCATGTTTGACTTCGGAGACCCCAATCCATCCAAGTCCCAACTGCCCTAGGCCCCTGATGCGCTTGCTGATTCACACGCGTTTGCTTCACGCGTACGTGCCGGACCGCGGGCTCCGCGGGACATGCTCTTGAAAAGGCCATATTATAGTTCCTTGGGAGGCGGCAGTCAAATCCCATGGTGGCCAGACATGGTCAACAGTCAACATCCAAAGGACAAACGTCCAGAAAGATCCAAACACTGTCAAGTCCAAAGATCTAAGTCCAGCTTCTTTGGGAACTTCCATGAACCTTTTGAAGCTCCGACTGTCTTCTGAGGGTTGAGTGTTGTTGATGTTGACCTTGAGGTCTGGCCTCAGAAAGGTTCTCTACTTCCGCGTAGGGAGAGGGCATGACTGGCCGAGAAAACCGTTGTGAAGCGGCCCCACAACCTCACATGGTAGATCCTCCAAACCCTGAAAGGTCCACAGCAAAAGCACCAGGGCTGGGATAGGATCTTTGGGATGTCCAATGGCATGTGATGGTTTCACCAGATGCTGGTGGCAGTGGAAAGAACCCTTTCCAAGATTCGTCTTCTCTGCGAATGTGGCACGTTCCAATCTACCTGTGGTGGTGAAGCGGTGCTGTGTTGACACGTGTGCAACAACCAGACTTTGTGTGGCACCGCTAATAGCCTAGTGCACCCAGGAGTTCCAAAGGGCATTTGTTGTGTCCATTTATCTCACTTATTTGGAGGTCTTGAGCAAAAAGGTAATTGTACTCCAAATCACGAACATGGAAGTGGTTGGACCACCGTGTTCACAAAGCACCGTCATCCCTTCCGGTCCATATCACTTCCACATGCGATGTGTTCGGAGGGGAACAAAATAACGCATGAAGACCAACAGAACACCATGGCGAGGTACACCTCGTTTCTTCCAACTCAGCCATACCAGGGTCATCCAATAATGGGGGTTTGAATAGACTACCCTACCTTACTTACAGGCCTTCATTGGGCACCCATTGGAAGTGCTAGATATTGATGCTCCAATTGCCAAGGCAGTTTCCACACACCAAGAGGATGAGATTGCTCGGATTGAGTGGTGAGGATCTCTTATTTACCCACACACACACCACATAAATCACTGATGTACAAGTTCAACCCGTTGAACCTATTGTTGCTAGGATTTCAATCACCCAACCCTTTTAGCTATTATTTTGTTTGGCCAGCCTGTGAAATCCACCTTTTCGGATGCAACAGACATGCTTCAAGCAGTTTCTAGATGTAGTAAGGGAGTTGGTCTGGATCCCTGAGAACCAGACCTTGCTGTGTGTCTCCCTCCCCACAGCACAGGTGATTTCTTGCGATACCTGATCTACACCCTGGAAGACAATCCCATCGACCCCGAAAACCGGAAAACCATCGGACCCAGGGGGCCAATGGACCCCGAGTCTAGGTGCGTGAGCCTGGCTGCCTCGCTATCGGGAAAGCCCCCCACGTGCCCCACACAACGACCAGGACCTGGTCTTCCGAAGCGCAAGAGCTCCTGGAACATAAAGTGGAAAGGTAAGCGGTGGAAAGGAAACATAGCGAGAGAATCCATCATGAATCAACGATCTTATATAAGTTGGTATGCCATGTTTGGACATGATAGTCTGTGGGTGTGTATTTGAATGGGTACACTTCCCCACTGGGGCCAAGCCCGTCGAAGTCCCGTGGAAGGCCCGTTGAGACCACATGTATCTATCATTTTTTTTAAAAGCTAGGCAGCCCCAATGAAGATCTAGAGAATCCGGGCAAATGCTACTGTTCTCAGAATCGCAAGGTTGATACCCTCACCTGAGAGTCATCATGTGTCTTGGGGTGCAAACTTTGAAAGCTCCCCGAGCGTACCGCTGCGCTGCCTGTCGGCCTTCTGGATTAATCTTATCCAATCCATGTCCAGGCATACCACTCTTTGCCGTACTTGTGACCTCTGTGACTTTTCCTATACGGTGAATCAGGATTACCGACCTTCGCCACAGACCGCTTGCTCGCTTGTCATCGCAGCACAGCCTTGGTCATTGGTTGGCTTTGGGCACAGAACTGGCAAGACTCAGGCTCCAACAGCCTGTGCGGAATGGACACCGTTGTGGTGGTGATGATGACAGTGAAGGAAGTCTTTGGAGCAGCTAGCCCACTTCACACAGTCAGCGAGTCAGCAAGTTGAATGTACTGCCCACGAAGCCCTCAAGCCCAAAGCGTCGGCTTTGCACCCTTCAGAGTTGGATCAGATTCTGTGCGGGAACTACCTGGTGACCGACATCACCAAAGGCCTGCTACAAGGTCACAGGCATCATGTGGGACCACAGTGAAGGCCAAAGTTTTTCACTGTTCCTTGTCGTTGTCAGATTCAGCCATTCATTTAGCAACTCAATTTTGTTAAGGTGCTGTAGCACCTTTTTGAACGTGGTGCTTCCAAAGGCTGGGTTGCTTGAAGAAGACCGCTCCTTGCTGAAGGAGGCTTGCTGCAACCACAGCGCCTACAGAGCAAGTGGAGATTGCACCTGGCAAGCCCGCCTACAACGAAGCAGCCTTCTGGCGTTCCAAATACTGGAGGCCTCGTACTACTGTTTGTTGGATTATTCCTTTAATGTTCTGTCGCGTTGAAGATTTTTGATTTCACATTTCTTGGCAGGAACTCGTCTACGGAAAGCGATTCGACTACGCGGTCCAGACCGGCCCAGCAAGCAGGAAAGCGAGGTGGCTCCCCTGAGGCTGGTGGCGAACGAATCCATTGCTATAATATAGAATAGTGGAAAGTGGAAGCTCAAGTCCAAAATGGATGAGGCCGAGAGAATAGCTGCAGAAAAGGCCGAGTCCGAAGGCGACGAAGTGCAGGAGCCACTGTCATTCGCCGTGCGCCCACAGTTTTGGCGCTCCACTCGCCTATTGGCGGGCCAACCAGACCAGTGAGGACGTACGTCACGATTCTCACAGAACCCCGCAAATTAAACCGCGATCTCTCAAGCTGCCACCTTCGAAAACATCCACGGGGTGAAAGCTCCGCTCTGCTGTACCCAGACCCAGACCAGCTTGAGGAGTCTATAGGTCCAGACTACGCGCAAAAACCTTGGTATGCAGCACTAAGCACAGCCCAGTCTTCTACTCGGGCTCCGGCACAGATCTCTCTTAGGAAGGGGAGCGCGCTTGCGTTGCAGAAGGTGATCTTGCGTGTTTGCGCACAGGCTTTGACCGCAAGAAGGAGATCAAAGAACTGTTCACTTTGAAGCAAAGGTGCTAGGTTTGGCTCAAAAATCCGGGATGCGCGCATCATCTTCTCAGACGATTCCATTCGGTCACAAAAGAAGCAGGCGAAGGCGCTCTCAGCGTACATTCCGCTTTGGCCCTGGCTGCTTCAGCTGTCCCTGCGCGGGCGTACGGCGTATGACCACCACCAAAGTCACCAAAATCACAATTCATGATCGGATTTGTCCGAGCCATTCAGCCGTCTGAGTTGTGGCATGTCGCCCGGACGAAAGACAAAGATGCAGTTCTTTCACCTGACTGCTGCGTCCCGCAGGCGGAGGCAGCAAGCAAGGTGGACCCTGAGGCGAACTTTGGGTCTTTGCTGGGCAGGCCGGGCAGGACGATATATATATATATATATTTCCCTTGTTATACCTAGACCCCCTATGGGGGATTAATGATTGATTTTGTTGTAGGGTGTAGGCTAAGGAAACGCTCGCGGTGGCGAGCCTGTTGGCCCGTTGCTCGTTGGGACCCCGCCCGTTGGGCCCGCCCGTCAAGTGCTTGGCCCCAGTAGGGACACCTCGGTTTAATAGGGAGACATGCAAACAAATGGTTAGACTGGTCTATTTGTCTTCTTCCAGGGGGTAAGAGTGGGAGGTCTCCCTATTGTTTGAATACCACCTGGTTCTTCAAAAGTACTCAAGATGTCCCGGTCAAACTCCTGAGACCCCCAACACCACTTTGAATTGTATAGTTTTGTTGGTTGCTTGACCTTTCGGTTACCTTTGGTCACCAGGTCCCCAATTTATTATTTTTTGCTGCTGCTGCTGCTGTGTTTGGCTGATTTTTGACACGTTGACCTATAATGGTTGACATGAAGAGTCGCTTCCCACGGATCTGTGGCTGGCTGTCTACATGGCCACAAATCACTACACTACAAGGTCTACCGAAAGCACGTCTGCCTTGGCGTTTGAATTGGTTTGCACCTACAAAGTGCATTTTTGTTTTGGACGTTCACTTGGACACGCTGTGCACCCTATTGCGCGAATGGAGTGGATCAAACCAGTCCATTGAACATAGCACCAACTGTGCGGATTGAAAAAAAAACACTGAAAAAATCCAAACCCATTGAAAAATAACGGTTCTTGATTTCGAAAGATTAACATTTACCCAAAATCTGCCAGACCTGGTCGGGTCTTTCAATTTACAGTCCGAATCACCACGAAAGGATACGAAAGGGGGAACTATTATTCGACACTCCGAGCAGGGGGCCTTGGTAGTTGGTTTAGATTTTTTTTGTACAATTATTTGTAATTAATTACAACCTTTTTGAGTCCCTTGGAGCATGCTTGACACGGATGTGTTCGCATCATAAATGTTCTATTTGGTTCACCACATCACCATCCACGCCCCTCACGGCAAATGGCGCACGCCACTGGTTTTTGCCCTGCAACGACCCGGAAGCAAATCCATCCCCATCGGGAAATGGTTTTCGTGTTGGGAAGCGTGGTACGCATGGCACGCGACCTGGTTGGGAGCCGGACGTGCCAGGACCAACAACGGCAAGTACCTACTAGTCAATCGGAAGTACACACACCACCAACCCGACCACACCTCCAAACCCGGAAAAAATACAGGTACACTCCCTGAAAAATTGTCGTTGTTAGGTGGATGGCGTGGCCCTTGGATGACCTTGGTCCTTTACAAAAAAAACCTTGGGGTCGTTTCTATTTCCGAGTAGTAGCAACGATCTTGCGCCAAATCAAAAGCGCCCCAAAAACCGAGGACTACTTCATCGATCAACATCCCATTCAGGGACCTTCTGGTGAAGAGCGGCCCAACATCGAGCTTTGGCGATGCTCGGTTTTCCGCCAAGCCAAACACGACCTCGGCGAGGGCCTGTTGTTTTGGGGGTGTCTTTATCATGAACCATGGGTTTGTCCAGCAGGTTTCATTGAAGACGTGAGACGTGGTATAAAATTTGATCAATATCATGTTCCAGGAAAAAACTGTGACTCTGCAATGCCACAGAAACGTGTTTGACACAAAACACATACACACACACACACATGGGCCTTAAGGATTCGCAGCGCCATTTGACTTAACGGGTTGAATCCCCAACAACCATTGTGTTCTTTTTATCACAAGCAGTTTTAGACTACAAGACCAGCTCAGCTTTTGGTTCACGGATCTTGGAAGGCGCCAAGGATTTGGGGTTTGATTTTGGTTCAACTCGACTGAGTCGAGTCACTGTCTGCCTTTTCAGCACGGAAATCCATCTCGACTTGAGGATCCTGGGAGCCTTCTCTTCGCAGATCTTGGTGACTTGGTCCCACGCCGCGACTCGTGTGTCCAGCATCGGTGAGACCGCAGCCAAAGACACAAGGAGGGCATGATTCCCTAGAGCCTGAGTGACCTCCATTTTGGACCACCAACCATCAAAAATATGGTCTTTTCCTATCGAAACAGAGGTGAAATGGGCTCCAGGTTTATATATCAGGGAGACGCCTTGCCCCAATGGTTCGACAGTTAGACTGGTCTATTTCCCTTCTCCGAACCCAGGGCGTCGGAACGCCACGCCACGTTGACCGCTTCGATCTCCCGATGTAAACACACCCGCGGCGTGCGCAAAGCGACACCACAGAGTTCGGGTGGTTGTATCATGTTGTATAGAGACCCCTATATAGGCCGGCCCTCTTGTTCAATATATCCAATCACCCACCCCACTTTCTCCCGTGGTGCTGGAATAGGATTTGGTGTGAAGCGTTCTAAGAGCCATACGTGTTTTTGTTCAAACCATCGGTGTCACGAATCAGTGCTGAACTTGGAGGACGTCGGGTTGCCCTGTCACATCCACTCACTGGATGGAACGGAAAAAACACCACCCCGTCTTGTGAGTTCTGGTGCATGAATTTCTTTTCTAGGGACTTTAAGTTGTCAACAGTTGTAGTCAGTTCTATCCTGCAAATGCCCAAAGTACCTCCAAGAACGTACCTCAAGGACCTCCTTCATTTGGATTTGATGACACGGGACCGGCACCTACCAAAAACGTAGCAAGAGCCTTTGGGTTGCCTAGTTCTTTTCCCTTTGAACATGACCCACTTTCATCAGCCACGAAGCTGCAAAGTAGAGTTACCCGCAAAGTACCCATCAAAATCTCTAGAAGTCCAGTCTTGGGCACTAACTACTGAAGTACTAGAAATTCCTAGACTTGGGTCACCTATAATAGTCAGACATGTGTTTCAATGGTGCTGGACGTCCATCTTGAATGAACTGGTCCACCTCATTTCAAGTCGTATCCACTTGTTGCCATTGCACCCCAATACTTCTGATACCACCCCAGGCGGGCTGATGGATATGTTTCAGCCGCCACTGTGTTTAGGTCCTTCCAGTATACACTTGCGCGTTTGCAATTTTATCCTACGGAGTGCTGAACTTGTGTCAAAACTTGTAATCTTGTTTCCCTGAGTTCTAAAGTTCTGTAAGCCTTGTGGGAGGAAATATTCCCACACTGAATATTGCTCGCATGATTCGTCACGCAGGGTTTGATTGGTTGAATGAATGAGACACAAACACCTGTCAAGAGCAGATAGTCAGCAGTTCTGCCCTCAACCAGGGTTCTAAAGACTTCAATCTAACTCACCGCTGAAAGATCAAGACGACATACCAGACCTCTAAAAGCCAAATGAATATTCTTCGGTTGCTCCTCGTGTTTTATTTTTTGTAAAATTGGAAAGGTACACACACACATGGTTTCTATGTTTTTGTTGTTTTTGTTGGCCAAGTCGATGAAACGATACTTACTGTGCCCTTGGTGCTCACACCGTAGAGTAAGTTGACCCCTGTGATGCACCATGGATTCATGTCCCAGATTTGGAGGAAGGCTCCACCCCGTCACCGACTTTTGTTCCGACTTCGTCTGGATCCGTGCCGTCCAAGGTATCAGCAACACTTCGAAGCTTGGAATGATGCGTCCGATTCATCCTAAGAAAATCGAAGGAAATCTCCAGTGTGAAGTCTTCCATCACCAGTTCCCTTCTCTCGTCGCCGTCTCTCCCAAGTCCCTGTCGCTCCAACTCGAGTAACTGAGCTTCGCCATGCGCTGCTCTTCTCCTGTTTGCTATAGGAGAAGCGCCACTTGGTGGAGACTTTAAGCCAAGAGCTTTTGGAGGTGCTCTGGGACGGACCGGCCGAAAGCCCTTTCGCCACCCGGGACCGGCCCCGGAAGACCCCGGAAAGGCTGGGAAAGGGTCACAGGGTTACAGGTTGGTCGTGCCACTTCTTCCCTTCCAAGAGCTCATTGGCTGCGGCGTTTTCAGTTCGGCCAACGGAATCCACGGGGAGAAAGCGCGGAATGGGAAATCCCAGTCGTCGCCTTCTGCTTCGCTGTGAAGGCGCCGCTCCCTCCGTGGCGGCCAGGTGGTTGGTCTAGGGATCGAACCGGAAGAGAACACGAGTCCGGTGCCTATTAGGTACCAGTACGTAGACTATATATTTGACTGGTTGGTGGTTGAAGGTGTGGGACATGTTTGGATATGTTTGGGTCCTGTTCAAGACCTAGAGTTTAGAGGACCCCCTTAAAAAAGAGAGATGCATCAACATTCTGTGTTAAGATATGTGCTTGACTTGCCACTTGGTCACCTGCTTCTACGATAAGGGTGTCGGTCAGCTTCGGACCCATTTCCAGGCTGAGCCCTTGATCCACCATGAAGCCCATGTCTCTCCTGGCGGACTGAGTGGCGGACTGAGATGGCGATGGAATCCGAGCGCCACGGGTTTTGGATCGAGCCTAACATGGTCAACTTCGATCGGGGGGGGGCTTCTGATGGGGGGGTTCTGGTGTTTCTGATGTTTCAGCTGGCTTTACGGAGCTTGTTGGGACCTTAGGCCAACAGGTTTCGACCAGGTTGGAGGCGAATTCTTGAAGGTGTGGGTCTTTCAACTTTGAACAATTGGTTTACAGTCAGTCCCAGAATTTGAATCGATCAGCTGGAGGGTGGTACCAAACAAATACCGTCCGCGTGGATGACCGTAGATAGGCCCACCATGATCTTTTGAAGGCTCTCCCATTTGAGTCTCATTTGGGTTGAACTTCCACCACGAGGAAGGTCTTTCCGAAAGAGTGGGTGCTATGGAGAAAGCGACCAGGCCACAAGTGACCATTTGAGTTCCCCTGGTGAAGTCGTTGAACAGAAGCAGAGCAGAGACTCCAACGAGGTCATTGACCTGGAGTTCCTGGAAGTTTCTTTTCGACCGGTTATTTCGCGTTCGGTCGCAATGTCAGGACCATCCATGGGGTCCGCGCATGTCCGCGCCGAGGCTACGACGATGTGATGTTCTTCGGTCGGGTACGCTATTTGCCCCTAATTGACGGGCTGCAGATGGGGCCGAAACTACATCAATACATTCAAGTGCCTTGGAGGCTGAGGGATGGAGAAAAGGCAGTCTCACACCTTTGGTGCCCTGCCACATCATGTAGACGAAAACCTGCGATTAGCAACTATCAACATGTATGATAGGGCTGCTATAGGTGGATGGTGTGAAAATCAGTCAGGTTCAGTTCCATGGTGTGTGGGGCACGGAATTTAGGTATTACACTCAGCACTCAGCACTCAGCACCACCCCTTTGGGTTCATATGTTAAAAGGTTCTCATGTGTCTTGCTTCGACTTCAACAGTTACTTAGTCAAGGATCCTTTTTGGGGGGATGAATTGTAAAATGGGTGTGCCTTGAAATGAATACCATTGCCAGGCACCCCCGTGCATCTGACTACATCCTCATAGAAACCAAGGTCTCTCAACGGATCTGGACAGGCCAAGTGCATGAACACCTACACTCTGACTGAAGCGGTTGCACCACCAGTCCTTTGTTTGGTAAAGGGACATCGTCCTGGTCCTCCTCTCTTTGTGGGAATCATCATGTGCCTCTCCGTGGCTAAAAACAATGGCACCCGAAGACTCGGCTGACCAGGGAATCCTCATACCAAGAACATGTGGTTTTCACCGGTTTTCACATGTTTCCACGGAACATACCAGGACCGGACATAGGTCTCCTGGCTGGACCACCCCTACACTACTATGATCTACAGCCAGGACACCCATGTCCAGGATGGTCCAGGTATGTCTGATGCTTTCAGCGAGACTTGATTTTCATACCTCAGAGACGGGATCCATTTTCCCCCACTGACTGGGCTCGGCGCAGCACTGACTCTGCTCCGAGTGGAGAGCGGGAGGTGGGGGGTTCCGCCCATGGGGTGAGGAAGAAGTTCTGTGAGATCTGATGTGATCGTTGATCGTGGAACACCAACATGCCACACTTTGCTTTTGAACACCCAGTAGAGTCAGAGCACTTCGGAGCTTTTTGGAGCGTTTGTTGAAGCCAAGCAACATCATTGTGCGAGTTTCTTGGGAGGTTTTGGTGCCCAAAAGCCGTTTCCAGACTGCCACGAAGCGCCCCGAGGTGATGAGTGAACAAACGGAGATCCCTTTGCTCTCCAGAACCGCTCGTTGAGTGGACGCCGGATCGGACCGTCCGGCCAAGCGATGCTTGGAGATGGCCCCACATGTCATGGGAACACAGACTGCTTTCCATGTTTTGATATAGAAAATTCAAGGGATATATACGGCATAGTATACGGTATATTTGTGAAAGAGCACATTCACATTCACTGATTGACATCTCTCAAAGATTGACATCTTTTCTGGTTTTCATCCTCTCAAAGGGAGGGGTCCCAAGCATTTTCCTATGAAGTCACGGGAAGCGATTCGTTGAGAATCTATCGGAGGCCTCCTTCACTAGGACGGATTCAAAGCCCTCGTGCGGATGGTTTGGGATTCAAAGACAGATTTTGGGAGCTGTTTGAAGTCTTTGGATCATTGGAAACAGGATCCACACGGAAATTCCTCCAGATCGTTGAGCACGTCTCGCGATTGACGGCCATTTCCGCCCCACGGCATGTTTGCTGCCAAAGAGCAGCTTTGAACCAGTGCCATTGCGATTTCTTTGTCCCAAAAGCAGCTGCGCTGTGCCAGGCTGGGATTGTGTGCAAGAACTATGCGAGGCACTGAAACCACCAGAAATCCTTATTAGGCTTCATCTTTAGCACGAACAATTGGCTGTAGCCATGGCTCAGCCATGTTCGAACATGATTAAGATTGGTTAAGGTTTGCGTCAATGAGACGCGACCCAGGCCGCAACATCATAGGAATTTTTGATCTTCGAGCCTTAAGGGCTTCCTTCATCCAGGCCGCAACATCAAACTCTTCCAAAAGCCTCGACACCGAGGTGGTCAAGTGGTTTGCACCGCGGGCAACGGCGCTGATTCCATGCGGCTTGGGCAAGTGGGTGTAGCGAGCGAGGGGCGAGCGCGAATCCTTACCCGAGCCCCCTGTTGGGGGTGGTTTCTGGATATCCCTTAACCTCTAAGGGGCTACGACCATAGACCCCCCCAAACAGGGGGCCCTGGTATATAGATTTTTGATCCAGAGCCAGAATTCAGAGCCCATCCCCTGGATTCTATAGAGAAATGATGCTTTTCGGGCTTCAAAGACCTCTGAGAAGTGGATTGAGGGAGGACAATCCAGCTGGACCTCTATAAACAAGTTCTGCGTGTTCTGTGCGGTGTCTAGCTATATGATACCCTCCAACAAACAGATTTCTCGGGTGACATACATTTGCCCACGTTGGTTGGCCAGCATGGCTGTTGTGAGGTGGATTTGAGAGTCGGCATAGTCAGTCGCCGCCACCGAAATGGTCCGCAAAACCGGAGGCGATGGTGGTTCTAAGGGCGATCTAGCAGTAAACCGTTTTCACCGGACGCCGGACGCACCATCCAACCGGTGCAGGGAGATGTTGATTAGGAGGCTGAAAGAGAACCTTCAAAGTCTTAGCTTGGATGATTCGTTTGACCTCGCTCCAACGGCTCCAACCCTTCAGTCTGATCAGCACTCTGCTGGACCCTTTCTTTTGATGTCCGCAGTCTGAGGATCATCTTCCTGAAGGGCGAAGCTGATGTCTACACCAAATCAGGCTCCCAAAACGCAAGACGCCGGTCGTTGAGAAAGACGGGGTGAGAAGACGCGTTGGTGTGGGAGGGATGAGAGTGTTTTGGCAGTCTTGAGTCGATGCCAGGATGGTGCCTGAAGCTGTTTGGAATGGATGGATGGATGAATGGATGTGTTCGCACGCACGACAAGGGCAATTTGGAGACTCCTGTGCTTATAAGTACTTCATGTGTTTATTTTGTTGGAGAAGAGATCGAGTCTAAGTGGCTAGAACTTCGAAGTTGATGCTTGCAGGCTTGAAACATTGCTTGTTCTATTCAGTGGAGACAATACTGCCCTCATTGGACTCTGCAGTGCAAGTGCAGAAACCTAGCTATAGCTAGCAAGAACCTTGGACCAGGAGTCACAAAAGGGTGGTGTTTAGTCCCATCCAGTGAGTGGATAATGGGCACCCGTATCCTCCCTTAAGCACCCCTTTGTGACTGCGAAGAAATCCAAACAGTTCTTCGATGTTCTTCGACTTCGACACGTTGGTGTTGAGAGACCCATTGAACGCATCAATACTAAACCTGACTACTAAACCTAAACCACAACCACTTGTATCGGTATTCTGATACACCTGTTTCGGTATGTTTCGGTATATGTCTTTACTTCCCTTTTCTACAGTTCTCCTGTAAGACCCATGAACAAAAGTCGACCAACACCAGCCCTCTCCCGGCCCTCTCCCCAGCCCAAAGCGCTTCTAGAAGCACTAACACACAGAACACCAAAACCGCCCCTTTCTATTCCCAGCACGACGCGGTGCCCGACCGCATCAGGCGACTTGATCGGCCGGCTCTACGACGGTGCGGTGATCGGTGAAGTGGCCGTGACACGTCGGCAGAGCTGGGAGGAATGGCATGCCGTGTGTGGTCGCAAAGGCATCCAGGTCAATTGGAGGGTTTTGTTCGATGTTGTTTTTTTCCTTTTTGGTTGGTGGATCCAAGGTTGGAGGCTTGATTTGTATGCTGTCCAGAGGCACTTGGAACAGAACTCTGGGTGGCTTTCAGAAGGGCTTTCTATAGAGAGGAGACATAGGAAACTTGTATTTTCAGTGACTCTTGATGATATTTCAATATATTTCAACTTTCAACCTCCCATAGACGAAGAGTTTCTACAATCTATGTTTGTAGGGGTTGTTTGAATCAAGAGTCTACATGAAATGGATCTTCTGATGTCCAAGAACATTCACCTTGCTACCTCGTTCCCCAACAACTCATTAGATCTTCTCGGGCCTTCGTCGATGAAGGGTTCGGCTCGCAAAACTAACAAAGGTTTGAGATAGCCAAACCGCTGCTCATATGGAACCATCGACATAGAAATAGCATGAAATAGCCTTGTTCACACATGGAACCATATGCTTCTATGGTGTCTATATATATATATGTCATATGGTTCTATGTTCCATGTGATGCTTGACACATACAATATGTCTATGTGGCCGTAATGCGACCTTTTTCCAAGAATCCCATCGTTTCCGCTCAGGTGCTGGGTCTCTTTCCATGGCGCACGGCGACCATTCGTCGCTCGACCTCGTCTCCGCTCGTTTTTGGGTCCGCGGGACCGCCGCAGTGGGGATGTTTTGGAGGGGAGTTTGAATTCGTTGAATGTGGTGGATTGTGACTAACACGGTGATTCCACACCACAATTGCACGGTGATTCTCTGGCGCGCGGAGACTCCATCGGCGGCTGGGGTCGGCGGAGATTGATCATGTCATCAATTCAGATCTGCAAAGAAATTGCTTGTTGATTTAGACCGTTTCACCGTCCCAGTCCCACCGTTTCACGCGCATCATCCATGGAACTCCACAATGCCAACCACTTGCTATGTAAGGGATCTCCAGCTTGCCATAGATGAAAAAGGATCAAAACCTGACACGCCAACACCATGTAGCGAAGGACCAAGACCGCGAAGAGCTCGCTTCCAGTCAGGCCAACTCTAAGATGCTCCTGTTGTTATGCCCCGCATGTTGGAACAACCCGAACTGTTTCTGGTTGGGACTCTGAAACAGCAGGAAGGTTTGGGTTTCGGCATGGATCTCAAGCATCCCAACGTTGTGTGACATAGAGTTTTCTTTTTGGGACTCTGCCCTGGGCTGAACATGGGCGGTTTTCGGCTGAAGATGACAACCAGCCAGATGTTGTGTCCGGCTGATTTCTTTTTGCATTTGTTGTTAGAGGTTGACCCATGACATGCCATGACACAAGAGCGAGCTTTCTCATTCTCCAACAATCCATCTATGTTATAGACATTGACACTCAAAACATGTAGGCAAACCACCTATATATTCCATGGATATAGGCCAGAAATTTCCCTGCATGTACATGGCTTCTTGGGGACCAAGGTGAGGGTGCCTCCTTGAGGTCACCCTCACCTGATTTCTTCGTCCAAGCCGACGCCCAAAGCATCCGAGGTGCGACGGGCAACTCCGATGCGGCGCCTGGGCGAACCTGGGTCCGCGGGCGAACGGAACTCGCCGGGTGTTGGGAGGATGTTGCTTTGGTCGCGGACGATTCCGTTTCTTTGGTTCGTTTTCAGTTGGACACATGTTTGCGGACCTGGACCGTCCCTTTCGGTTGTGACCGTCCCTTGAGGTTGGCTGGGTCGATCGGGGAAGCCCGGCGGAGAGCTGGAACAGTCTGGATGAAAAAGAGATTTCTGGTTGACATGAAGACCCTGGGTGGTTGGGATTTGCATCCTGCCTGTGGTCCTGCCTACTTGAAGGTGGCTCCTTGTCAGGCAGACCAACTCAAGGCCCGGGGAGTTGTGAAACTGTGCTGTTTGTCATATGTTCCGTGACGTACTTGTAGCAGACAGGGCTGCCACGACTCCGTCTGCAGCCGGCCCTTTTAGTAGATTCAGCTTATGCAGCTCAGGTGCTGATCACTGCAAACTTGATTTCCCGAATCCTTCAAGCATCTTGGCAGACGGCGAGAGGAATCCTGATCTTTAAGCTGAACAGGTCTGAGGCATTTGGACCTGTGTTCTCTGGCTTTGGGGGACTATACTATACAAGAAGTCAAGTCTGTATAGGACATCTGCAGCATTGTTTGGCATGTTCTACCAGAGGGAGGGGTTGCAGGGGAGAGATGACCAAGAAGATGGGTCTCGTGTCTTTGTTAATTCGTTTTCGTAAGGAGATCCTCCAATTGTTCAATGCTCAGTGCGTCAATATCCCAGACGTGTGGGACTGGCATATTTACCGACATTCAATCTTATAGGTATTAGTCTTAGTTGAAAAGGAAAACACTTCACGAAGACTAACTCATTTCACCCGGTGCAAACAAAAGCACAGGTCGGTCGATCACTTCACCTCGATCTCTTTTCTGCTTCGTTTAGCCTGCTTCTCAGCAAAAGTGTTTCTTTACAGCTTCCAAGACACCAAACATGGAAGTGGAAAGTGATGGAAAGTTTCCCACCAGGGCAAAGGCATGCAAATGTCCAATTGTTATCTACCAGGGCCTCCACACTCCACCGTCAAACATCCAAGATCCAAGTCCAAACCTCTCCGCGAAACCCGCTCCCCGCGACGCCCGAAACCGCGCCCGTTCCCCGTGGCACGAGGGCGAGGATGCCGCCGTGGCACGGCAGCGCTTCGATCAACTCTGTCAGGACCGGCGGAACCAAGTGGCGCCTTGGCGGCTTAGCAGTTCCGCTGGTTCTGCAGTTCACGGAGAACCGTTTGGGGTTGATTGAAAGAGAGGGATGAGACCCCAATGGGGTTCTGTCCATCTGTCCATGGGAAATGGACAGCCTGGAAGAAGTGGTGTTTCCGGATTTTTCATGTTTTGTGCCACAACTCGCGTTCTTTTTCCTCATTGTTCAGCCCTAGGAGCTTGCAAGGTAAACGGTAAAAGGAACAATGGTTAGTGTAATGATTGAGTTTGAGAATGTGTTTGCTACATTATCTTAAACAATCATCTTCAATCGACAACATATCTCCAAAGTCCACGCACCATGTTCCCTGTTGCAAAAGCATCCTAAATGTGAAGGAAAGTCATAAAGTTCAAATCTGAACACTTGTGGCTTATGAGGCCTTGCCAGGCAAACTCAGGGTTTGAGAGACACTTGGGGGTTGTGCATGTTTTAGATCAAACATGGCTGGAAGCAGATCATTTAACCATGAGCTCGTGCCAGGTTTCTCAACACAGGCTTTTTTAGACCAAATGTCCCACACGCTCCGCCCAGGAAGCTGGAATGCCGATGCCCCTTGGAGAAACAAAACACCTCCAAGCAACGAAGCAATGGAACATAATGGAACAGCCAAGGGGATTCAATTATCTATAGACGTTGACGCCTTTTTCTGAATAACCCTCCCCATCAATTTATCTTCATCATGTCATATAGGGTGGTGGTGGTGGTGGTGGTGGTGGTGGTGGTGGTGGTGGTGGTGGTGGTGGTG